TTTTCTTGTGACTATTAATTAAGGTCTTAGATCTTGAACCTAATGTTTAGATTAAGCTAAGAGAATGAGTTCTGCTCTAGACAGTATTTTCCTCTTCCCTAATAGTAGTTTAGTCAGAATTAATTACTGGGACCAACACATACATCTACATGGGAAGCCATAATTTACAAAAGACTTTAGGATCTGCATTTAACAAATACTCCCAATTTAAGCTAAAGACTTCAAAGTTATCCTTTGGAAACACACTCCAATGTATTATTATTGTACATCATAATGTATAACTTCTTGAAGAGCAGTCTCACCTCCAGCAATTTCAAACACAGAACCATCTGGAGGAATCCTACAGCATTCAATATCAAAGTGTCATGGTTCCCTTTGAGTGCTTAGTGCATTTTTAACCTTTTTAGCATGTTCTAACAGGGAAAAACTGATTTTCTTTAACTCTTTAACTGTATTTATCTTTCATTTATTACAAATGCCAAGCATTATACAAAATGAGCAAAAATACTATTCATACCAATATTTTTGTTGAAAATAAAAACTTAAGATAGTCTGGAGGATGGTAGGACAATCTGTATTTAACAACAGCATAGATAAGGACCTCTGTAATCTATTTATATGAAGTGGGGGAGAAAATGAGAATTACATTTTCAGTAATGCTGACGTCAACTTTTGTAACTCAGGCAAAGATAGTATAGTAAGGAACAGGAGAAAAACAAAATGTTTTAGAGAGATAAGATGTGAATAAAGACAGAGGCAGAGATGGATTTAAGAGTTTAGTCCCTCTTCCATTTGAAGTCATGGGCAAATTTGCCAGATCTAAATCTACACGAAGTTCTGCTTCCAACCAGCACCTCCTTTGAACAGTTTCCTGGAAGGAGATGGCAGGCTTCACTGCTGCCTCTTCAATTTTAGCAGAAAGGCTGCTCTTTGGCCATTACTTTTTCACCCTAATCCCACTGTGTCCCTAAGGCTTTCCCGCTACTAAAGGAACTATTCCTCTCTCCCTCCTTCCTCACTGAAAATTAGTCATGATGCTCCAAGTTACACATTCTCTTTCACAATGCTCGTTTAATGACATTAATTAGCTGAACCAAAGTTCACATGAGAAGCCATCAAGAATTCAACAAGAATTTAGGTTCTGTATCAGGATAATTTGACAAATGGAAATTTGAACATCCTTTATGAATCAGTTGTACTACAGTAAACCTGACCTGTTACCAGTTCCTCATCCTGACTTTAAAATCATGCTGGAGCCTAGGAGTTAAAAACTTCACATTACATTGAGAGTCTGATCTTGCAGCATTTCCCAAAGTGTGTATAATCATGTAAGTGGATTCCTTGCTTGTGAAAGAACACAAGAAAGGCCAGCCTAATTTTGTCTATGGTTCATACTTGGGTATCTTGCCTCTGGTTGAGTCTTTGAATTCCCCTGAATGTTCTGCTATTCTATACGTTCAACTTGAGGGACTTCTGGAGACAGATGTGGTTTGTCTGCTCACTCAGGGTCTGGTTCAGGACTTGTTCAGTCTTCCACAGAATACAAATAAACACTTCGCATTCGTAACATCTTCAAGGAGATGTACAAGTCTACCAGCTGTCGCCTGAAGAGTCTTTTACTCCTTAACTTTTGGTGTCTACTGTGCACGCTCATCATCAAGCTTTTCAGTGAAGACATATGCAATACACTGACATGGCCTGTGAAGACTATAAAGCTGTATGTCTTCTGAGCAAGACCCCTCGACCCCCCAAGACCCCCACTGTACCAAGGGCTCTGTGAACGCTGGCCTGTGCCTTGAAATGCTATACGAGGGACCTGGGTGAAACACAGTTAGCTCCACTGTGCTAAAAGAAAGTTCCTCTGCGTTTTGTGAGGAGCTTGAACCCATCTGGGGGTGCTGGCATGCTCTTGGGAAGCCTTCCCAAACAGAACCCTTGCGGGTACTCCTTGCTGGAGTAATGGTTTGTTTTCAGCTCAGGTCTGAGCTAAGAGGGAAGGCAGGGCTGTCCCCAGTGAGCACCTCGCAGCCTGTGCAGAGGCAGAGATCTCAGGTCCTCGGGGAACTCCTTAAGGCACCATGTTTAGATACAGCTGAGCGGAGCACAACTTTAGATGTTTGTGTTGTAGTTCTGCCTAAGCCTTGTTGAAGGCATTTAAAAGTCCTATAATCTTTAGTGATAACACTAATAAGAGGCAAAAATTGCCCTTGCACTTAGATTTCTAGAGGAGAAAATAAACCAAAACAAAAGCAGAGGGACTTAGCAGACCACCTAAGTCAATGCTCTTTCATTCTTTCTAGATGTGATACAGAGCATAGGTGAGCAGAAAAACATCCGCTTCACACAGTTCATTTTCCAAATAACTCTAAGCTGTCTACTAAAAATATATGTCTAATACTTTATCTACTCTGTCATATTTAAAGCAAATATTTTGCATTTATAAGATGCTTCAGGTACTGTTGAACAACCTACGGCCTTCATGTGCCCAGACATTTTTCCCAGACAATGGCCTAAACCTTCTCCTTCAAAATTTTGTCTTATTTGTCAGGAATACTTTCTTTAAAAATATAACTGGAAAAAAATAACTCACCTTAATAGTAAAATTATTCAAATGTTTGTAGACTGTATTTTAACAAACAACCTTTTCTCAGATGTTAGACAATCGCATAACACGATATCATACGTATCATATGTATCTTTAAAACTTTTTGTTATTTTTTCTTTTGTTACTGTTTTCTAAAGCCTCTCTAGTATATCAACGTTTTTTTGATCATGAGAAAACTGTTTTGAAATTATATATACCAAAAATACAGAAAAAAACGACTGCTGTCTCTCCCGTGTATTTACCCCATTTTTGTGATGTACAGTCCAAAGTTACAGATGCTTTTCGAACACCCCTGTTACAGGCAATACATAAACATAATTAAATATAATGGCTTAGGCCATCAGCCACTGTAAATTAGCACATCTCCGCTGAAATAAGTTACAACAGATGAAGGCACTGACTGCTGTCTACAAGCACCCAGTAACACATGCAGGGCTGAATATTAGGACTCCAGTTTGTACGTACATGATATAACATCATTCTGTATAGAGGCACTTGGTAAATGATGCATTACATTTTCAGTCCTAACCTACTTTCTTCCCTGGCTAATGCATTTCTTTGGCATAGGTGTTTTCAAGACTTTTTTTAAAATTAAAATAGGTTGTATTAGCTTCCACTTCTCCAAACTGAATCCAATTTCTGTCATCCACTTCCGCACTTTCTAGAACCACATGAATTATTTTAATGTATTCATTTGTGTTTGCCACTGCTCTACAGCAAAAAAAATGCTTTCGAAAACCTGAAAGAGGTGTTTTTAACACCTTTATCTAATACTTCACAAAACATGACACCTCTCATTTATGGTCTTAAATAACTTTGCAAAGCCATGTGTCATTTTTCATATCCACGCTGTTTGAATTAATCTGAGGGTCGGACCCTGTTGTCTTCACATTTGAACTGTTCAGAGAGACACTTCATGGACTCCGTTGATGGGAATGTGGAAAAGATCTTTCTAAACATTAGGACAAGCAATCCCTCCCTGTTATCTAAATAAAACCATTTCAAATGCCATTTGCTGTGGCTAAATGAATTTAGATATGCCAACAAACCCAAGCCTTATCTAGCTGTGCACTTCCATATCTGTAATATGGTTACTGCTGCTAATTATATCTCTAGGTTCAAATAGTTTTAAAAGATGATATGAAATGCAATGAACTGAAAAGCCAGAGGGAGCTACTGTTTTGGAAAGATACGCTACTGTGTACAGATCAACCTGATTCCAAAAGTTTTCAGGCTGCATCCTCTTCATGATCATAAGATAAAATGAAATAATTCTTGGTTAAATTGTAATTTCAAATAGTAACTGTTAATAGGGATTCTGCATCTCATTTTAGTTGGAGAATACTGATATATACACTAGCTACATATTTATGCTGTAATGAGTGCTTGTGTCCACTCCTTGGTAGGCTGTCACTTCCTTCAAAATGCCTCTTCTCACCTTCTCCATCCTTTCCTACTGCTCATGATGAGAGACTTACAATCATTTTTAGTCCCGGTATCTTTCTCACTCTCTCTACATTATAACATTTTTTCTCCTTCTAGATTATATTAGGGATCTTTTCAAACAGAGATTTCCTTCTTCCTAAATTCCTTCCAGTGAATGCTCTGGAGCATAAAGGACTCAAAAGTAGAAAATATATGTTGCCAGTCCTGGAAGTCTCATGCCAAAAAAGAGCAAATGCAGTTATGAAGACCTTTTGAACCTCTGTGTGAGAGAAGTGCTGGAGGTAGAAGCATTCTTTGCCAATGCCATAACAAGCGTATTTGCCCAGTTCAGTTACTTTCCGAGAGTTTAGTTCAGGGAGTTTCTTTTCTTCAGTCTGCTACCTTTTGACTTCTGCCAAAGAATTATTTGTCAAATAAATGAATAAATAAATAAACTGTTCCATCAAATAATTTTTCTGCAAGGGCTACAAAAGGATACGCTTGTACATTGGCAAGCTAAGGCTCCAGGTTTCTCGACATGTGCCTGCGTATTTCAGTTTGCAGTAATTGATGAGAACAAAGTGAGATGCGTGTTCCTGTAAAACTGAAGGACTCAGATTTTAACACCAAGTATTTAACAGATAAGTACATATACTCAATTCTGTGAAATGTGCTACATTTTGCTAATAAGGAGTATTTTGGGGAGCAATGCAGTGTTTAGAATTCATACTAGAGATGCTGGCTTCAAGAATTTTAGAAAGTGACTTTTGAATGTAAGAAAAAAAGGAAGAAGGAGCATTTTTGTGTGTAGAAGGTAAATTAATAAATTCCAAATAGTTTTTAAAAAGCACAGATATTTCCTAAAACTTTTTATAGTTAAAAGCATAGTGCCACATGGAAAAGTAATCTATTTACAAATAAAGTGTACATGTATTGTAATTTTCCTTTTTCTTTCTTTTTTCCTTCACAGATCAATAACACGTTCTTATTATCGCAACTCTGTGGGTGGCTTATTAGTGTTTGACATCACCAATCGACGATCTTTTGAACATGTGAAAGACTGGCTAGCAGAAGCAAAAATGCACGTGCAGCCCTTTCAGATTGTCTTCCTGTTAGTAGGACATAAATGTGACTTAGTGTCACAGCGTGAGGTTACAAGAGAAGAAGCTGAAAAACTGTCATCTGACTGTGGTATGAAATATATAGAAACTTCAGCAAAAGATGCTACAAATGTTGAAGAGTCCTTTACAATTCTTACACGAGACATCTATGAGCTTGTAAAAAAAGGAGAAATCTCAATACAAGATGGATGGGAAGGTGTCAAGAGTGGCTTTGTTCCAAATGTTGTACATTCATCAGAAGAAGCTGTGAAGCCCAGAAGACAGTGCATCTGCTGAATTTGTAACATGCCAAAGAGAACATCAGGTGTTCAGAAGATGATGCCAACCTAAATAACAGAATAATAATTTTGAAACAATATTAGATCATGACATAGCTGAATCACAGAACAGTAATTTGGTTTTGTATCCTTCTGTCTAGGTCATAACTTCATAAAATTTTAAGTGCTTTTTTCTTTTCAGAGTACAATAACTTTGTGTGGTCTTCAGGAAAAGAAATTATATATTGCTAAAGGAAAAAGTGCAATAATTGTTGTGACAACATCCTCTCCTGGGCTTTGTATTTTGAGTACTGTTTAATATCAAGGCTTGCTCAGTGAAGATTGGATGAGCTCATCACTTTTGTTTATCCTGCCTTAGTTTTGGACAAGAAAATATACTTTTCAAATGTGATTCTTTGCTAAAATGCAGGGTTGCTAATCACCATTAAAGTTTAGAATGCTGTAGAATTTCATAATTACTCTAAAGAAAGAAAGCTGAAAGATTGCTCCAATAGCAAACACTTTTGATATGACTATGAACAGAAGCCTTACTGAAGAAAAGTAATGTTTTAGAAAAGATGATTTATTTGTATACAAAAATGGAGAACAGAAGCAATGAAATTTATTATTAAATATTTTCTGAATTGCCAATGAAACTAAATATAACATCACATATGATCCAGCTGCTATTTGACTTGTACACAAAACAGATTTCCCAACCACTGGAGTTACATTTTGGTGGCCGTATCCTCAGCTGGGTAATTATCATAGCCACACTGATGCCTAGGAAGTTATGTTAATTTACACAAACAAATGTCATCTTAGCTTTAAAAACAAATCTACTTCTAAATTGAATTAAAAATAAGCTTAAAAAGTGCTGCAACCATGGGGACCCAGGCCTTAAATTTGAATAGATCAGGGATTGTTTTATTCTCAGCCAGCCATTAAACTGTTGTCTTTAAAAATGGAGGTTTTAAACCCAAAACTGTTATGAATAGAGTGTTTGGAGAGGAGATAATTTCCAAAATAATGCTTGGCTACAGAAAGCAAAGTTGGAGAACCCCTATTCTAAGAAAGCAACACATAATAGCTTTTAATAACAATAATAATAGGAGAAATATGTGATCATGTAGCATTTTACTGAGCTTGAGGTTATCTTCCTACTCCTCTGAATATAACACACACTAGCTTTATGCAAATTACGCCCTATACATCTAGCACTTAAATACCAAATAAGTCTCTTTCTATTTTATTGTAGTAGTATAGCAAGATGACTTGATGTCCGGAGTTGATAAGCATTTACAATTTATCTGGGCATCCCCATAACCACTGAACATCCAGCCAGTTATCTTCATATAAAGGTGTGTTATCGTGTTACAATTTTCTATTTTCAAGACCAGGCAACAAGTCTATCTAATCTAACTTTTTTCTTCAACAAACATACAATTGGTTTTTCCTCAGGTTACTTTCAGGCCCTTTTACAAATGTTTCGTAAATATGCTGTAGTACAGAGACATGTTGTTTGGTTCCAGTTATTTTATTCACTTAGGGCCACTAAAATGATTGACTTTGAGGAGCACTGAAAGGTTAATTTTTTCAAGAGCCTGAGTCTCAGTTGCACTGAGGCACAGTTACACTGTCATAGGATACAGAGGCCTTAATAGGAACAGGAATCAGCCTTAACTCATTAGCAATTAAAACAGTTAATTCTAGTCTCAGCATGCCACAAAGTAATGCTGTGAGCCTGATTCTCTAATACACTACATATCTTAGTCATTTACACCACATCAGTTTTGATATGAGGGCATTTTAGGTCCTCTTTACAAAGTAAACATGACTGCAGATGCCAAAACGTGGTGCAGAATCAGGCTGAGTGCATTTAACGCTGATAACACTATGCTACTAGTCCTGTCTTGTGTGTTTCAGAAGATCTTCTCTTAGTTGTTTAAGAGGACAGAATGGGCCAACGAATAAATCAGTGGTTGGGGAGTCAACAGACTCAGAGTCTACCACTGTTTCACTGTGTGTTTCTGAGCAAGGCATTTACATTTTCTGTGCCTCAAATTCTTTATCTCAAAAATAGAGATGATTGTTCTTCCTCAAATTCACAAAGACTGCTGAGACCCAGTCTGACTGTTGTGATCTTCAGTCTGGACTCTTTTCTCTGTGTGCTACCTGTTGTGCAGTGGTTAAGCACCATGAGATGTGGATACTGTTCTCTTCTGCCATACCAAAAAAAAAATTAAAATATTAAAACAGCTTTATAAGTACCAGGTATTGCTATTACTATGAATCTGCATTTCATTACATATTTCATTACTTTCAGGTTAAAATCTGTTACCTTAGACTTTTCTTCCTGAATACTATGGAGCAAATGAGTTTTTCATTCTGTATGAAAAAATTCGGGTGTGTTTGGGGGGAAGGAACTGGGAGAAGGGAGGAGTGGAGGGGAGGTATCCACAGAGAAATAAACAATCATCAGAACAAAGCCTTAATAATCCCTGCTGTCAATGTTGTACCTGTAGTGTCACATTTATTACACTGGGAGTAGACCTCTTGTTTTTTTTACACAGCTGTGTGAGGAACTGGTATTGTCAATGCAACCGGAAGAAAAGTTCACTGCATTTTAAACTACTGTGCACATAGTTGTCTTATTTGTAATTCCTAAAAATGTAGATTAACATGTACGTTTGAACTTTGTCTATCCTGATGATATATTAAATCAGTCCTGTATCTTCTCACTACACACTTGCAGTTAATAGAAATGTCTGATAGACTAATTTCTGAAATACATCATTTTGTTTTCAGATGCTTTGCGGTACAGTATATAAGTAACAGCCTGAATAGACTACAGAGCAGATTATAGTTCAGTGCCCCACCTGTAGACCCCAGCACATGATATCACTCCTCCAAGCCCCTATCCTTGTCCCTCGCCCCGAGATGGCAATCTTGGCAGCCTGTATTCAGCCTCAGAGAGAGAGAAGGAGAGATGAGGGTTTATGCTTTACATTGACATGAAACCATACCACAAATGTGCTGGACTGTTTTAAGCAATCAAGAAATATCAAAACAATCATCAATAGCAAACATTTGCATTGCTCATTTGTCAGAGGCCAAAGATGTTCTAAAGAAGTGAATGGAATTAAAATTCTAAAAGAAGAATCTGTAAGATATAAATCTCTCTAAAAAGCCTAATGGATAGGACTGTGCAATAAAATAAACTGATTCTTAAAAAAAATAAATCCAAAACACTTGTATAATGATCCTTTGCTCTGGTACTCAACTGCATGTGGTAGCACCCACGATGCCTAGGTTTCCTAAGGATAACAATATCATTGAATGCATTCCAAACTAGAAGAATTCAACAAAAAATTCATGATTCTCTGATCCTCAGAGCAAAAAAAAAAGAAAAAAAAAAGGCCATATCTCATGAATGTATATATACTTGATTCCCAGCTCATTTCTAGTAGTAATTCAATGTCTTGGTTTAGTGCTATGTTCTGTGAGGCTCTCCTCTGAAAACCAGCTACCTACGTATGCTGTCATTTTACTCAGCAATGTTTCCTCATCGGTGAAGCAAATACAGCTGTGGAAAAGCTGAAGTTCGCTTCTGAGCATGGCGGAATTGTTTATCACATTTCAGTGACTGTGAAAATCTGATGAAAGTAATGCGATTGAAGACGTGCCAGTTGAGCATAATATGAGGACTATGAAGTTGTACAGGTTCCTGAAGACAATGTGCCTTGCATAATACTTAATTGGTGGGAGTGTAGCATATGTATGAAGAAAAGTAAGGTGGTTCTGTGAACCCCAAAACATTTCGTTAAGTAGCACTTTTGATGTTGAAGAGCTGGTTCTATAGATACAGGACTCAGCAGAGCAATTGTTTTTCTTCATGGAGTTGCTGCTCCCACAAACAACCAGTGGAACAACAAACGTGTGACTAAAGTGTGTCCAGGAAAATAACTTAATAGCCTCAAATCCCCTAAAATACAAAATACACACTGGACTTTTTACCCCAGGGGAGACAGAGAACAGTTCTTTGGCAGCCAGCAGCACCACAGCACTTGCATGGCGTGTCCTCCCACAAGCTCCCGTTGCCCACAGAGGCAGGACAGGAACAGGCGGTAGGAGGTTCTTTATGTAGGGGCAGGTAAATCTTCATTTAAATTCAAACTGAGGAATACAAAATCCCAATCCCAAGCGCCTAAAATGGATCACCATCTTCAAAAACATTTCATTCACTCATTTCTCAGAGAAAGTCACGCTTTAGGCTAGGCTGGAGCTAATCTGGAACAGAGTCTCGGTGTGTAATCTGCTGAGGGACTCCTCCATGGGAGCAGTGCTGTAAATGAGCAGACACCAACCTTCAGCAGCCACCCAGGCTGCAAGGGCAGCTCCAACTAAGAGTAACCCTGATTACCTTCACAGGCTGTTAAAGGCCCACCTTGTAGCTAAAGAGTTTCTACAGAAACCTAAGGGTAGTAGTGACAAGAAATTCTATGCACTGTAAATAAAATTGATTCTTAGGTATAAACATCAATTCATAACTTGATAATTCAAAATTAGCTATAATCCAGTTACTTTGATTCCTCATTGCTGTGGCTTCAAATCAGCTTGTGTGCAAACTGATTTTTCCTGCTCCATGCAAATTGTGGAAGGACAGACTGAGCCTCTCATAGCAATAAACACAGTCACCTGGGAAATGAACGCACAGAAGAAGGATGGAAAGGAAGACACAGACCATGTCTTCCACCCTTGAAGAGCCCTGGGGGAGCAGTGAGACTAACCACTGCCAGAGCCCTTGAGACCTGCAGAGATTTCCACCACTGTTATGGGATTTGTGGGATGAAGGAAAGCACCAAGGACCTGGAGTCCCCACAGAGACACTGACTACTGACACACCAACTACTGACTCACCAGCTTCAGCAGCTCCCTAAGGACTGGTTAATTCTGTGGGACAGCTGCCCGAGAGGAATGGTTGGGTATGGCTCTATGCCAGCACTACATCTACATTGCAGGGTTCTTCCCCTTTCACCTTGTCCCCTGCGTGGTTTCTGTGCAGGAAGGGGCTGCCAGAAACTGTATTTGGCACTCGGTTCTAATAGTGAGCAGGGTGATACTTTAAAACATTCGTGGTAGTTGCTAAATATTAAGGTACTAATACTGAGGGGAAGAATCGTGGAAAATATTTCAGTCATAATCTTAGTAATAAAACCCTTGCAGGGCTGGCAGTGTTCTGCAGCACTTCTGAGAATT